TTTACCGTAAGTTGGGTACAAAGGTCTGGGTAATTATTCAAATTCGTCGATAGTGGGATTTGAACCCCAGACCTCTTGCATAGCGGTCTGGCAACCTAACTACTATACTAAGATCGCCAGACCTTAAGTTTATAAATTTATTAGTAGAGCACATTAATAAATTAATATGATAAAAAGTTTAAAAAAAAGTTTTCTTATATACTGACTGATGTAATTCATCTATATTGATATTAATTGTTGTATCCTTCTCAAAATATGATGATATATTGTTAACATAAAAAAAATCATACTGATTTTCATATTCCATTATTTCCATTATTGCCGGCTTACGTATTTCTTCTTTGCCTTCACCTTTCATCATTTTTTGAAAAAAGTGTGATATATGATTATGATTTTTTTTTTCAACTCCACTGCAAGAAAAAGCTGTAAATCCAATATCATGATGTTTATCTATAAACTCAAGTACATAATATATAAGAACATGAATATAGGGAGTAATATCTGTTGGCTGATAAAGCCTATGTGTAAATCCAACTGAATTGACATTGCCTTGTGATCGTGTCAAGAAAAGCTCTAACCACTTACGAGCTTTTTCATGAAAAACTATTCCAGTTATATTTGGGTTATATATATCTTCGTATAATTCATTAAAACCATCCCATAGCTTTCTAATAATAGCTGCTCTTTGAGAAACAAACATAGTATTCAAATTAAAATTGCGCAAAACTTTTAATTTGTTATCTTCCATAAGCGATGTGTGTAACCAAGCTCTAGTGTTCTGATCTTCCCAAAATTGAAATTAAACCTGAATACGATTCATTTCATTAATAATTTCCTGTCGTATTTCTTCAGTAAATTTGCATGTAGTACATAATTCACTTATTGCAAGAGTCCACAATCGATCCCAGATACATAGCATTAAATGTAGTTCATCTACAACATAATTACAAATAGGTATCATTGAAAATAATAGTGCATATTGATGGCCAGGTCTTTGTACATAGTTTTGACAAATATCGTCAATATCTTTACTTATAGTCTAATTATCTTAACGAATACCATTAACTTCAAGTATACCATTCTGAGATTTATGAATTGGACACTACAAACAATATTCCATGCTATTTGCTGCTTTGTGCCCCAAACAAATTGCAAGAAATTTCTAATCTGCTGTAAAATATAATTCTATATTCATTTTTTTCCATTATTATCTACAAATCCATTCTTAATATCATCTAGATCCTTAATTAAAGATGACATATCAGCTTTTAATATTTCATATTTTTCTGTTCCTGAATATAAAATTAAAGTAAAATGCAAACTAGGTTTATAAATATTAAATTTGCTATTAAGTATAGCAAATGTAACCATAACTTGTTTAACTTTATATCCAACATTATGACTATCTCTAGAAATACGGATTTTAATAGTAGATTGTGCTAAATCTAAATCACCTTTTGCAACTAATGAAGGTATTAAAAATCATAAAATGTCTTTAATTGATCGTGATATGGCTTTGTTTAATAAAGATTTGATTTCTTCTACAATATTATTGTCATAAAAATAAACTTCTGTGTTATCTTCAAATTCTTTAATTTGAGGTAACTATAAATTAACAGTATGTATTGGTATAAGTTGACTCATTTCGTCATTTAATTGTTTTTTTCTTGCTGAAATTGCACTTTCTCTTGGTAAATTGTGTTCAATAGCTGAAAGAGTTCGATATGCAGCTCTAGTAATATGATTTGTATCTATTTCTTTAATTATAGCAATTTGAAGAGCATTTTCTAATTCCTTAGATTGATCATATTTAATGTGAAATTTGGATTCATTAACACTAAAAGTTAATTCTTGTAATTTAACATTGTCTTGTAAATGATAATTATGTTTAATTTGATTTTTAAAATCTAAAAACAAATTAATTCCCATATTTTTATTTCGTATAATTTGCATTCTATTAGTTAAATCTGCAAATGGTTTGATCTTTATTTTTTCTCTTTGTTTTTCACGAATATATCTAAGTTGTTTTAATTGCAAACCAAAAAGATGAACACCATTCATTTTGCTTTTAGATTCAGGTTCTGGTATCTAAAATAAATTAAACTTAATTATTTAAAAATAAATAAATTTTAAAATTTTAAAATTTAAAATACAGTATATACCTGATTTAAATGCTTTTTGTTCTGATTATAAAATTTTAAATAATTATTTGCAGCAGCTGTAGGTGATAAATTTGAACAAATGAAATCATCTTCATCAGGTCCAAAAATAATTTTATAATGTGGATGTTTAGCAATATAGTTTATATGACAAATAACTGTTTTTTTATCCTTTCCATAGGTTGTTTCTATGATATATTTATCAGGAATAGGATAGCAATTTGGTTTTAATGTATGAGCAAGATCTGGTTCAGGTGGATATACACCTTTTCAACAATATAGTACTTATAACTTTTTTTGGAAGTTTTATACTTTATTGTACAATCAACAGGAAAGTTTGAAAACTCTTCAGCTTTTTCTTTTTTGTGTTTTTTAACTATTTTATTAAATTTTAATCATGTAACAAATAATTTTTTTTTTTTTTTTTTTAAATTTTCAACCCGTAGGTTGAGGTGAGGTCTTGCCTCTATCTTTATTTTTGTAAAATATAGT